GCAGATCGACAAAGTACACTGCTGAGGGGAGCGGCGGGCGGTCAGGAGGTCTGCCACGCCATGTGGTCACCTCCGGGGCAGGCGGGGATCGAACTCATGCGGAAGTGGCTTAAGCTTCTCAGTGCAGTGCTTTAACCCACTGCACCACCAGGGAGGGCCAATAAATAAATCTTTAAAAAAAAAAAAGACACTACAACTAAATGTAGTACTTGATCATGGACTGGATTCTTTAACAGAAGGGGAGAAATGCTTTCATAAAGAACATTATTGAATCAACTGACAAAAATGTAATTTGAATGACAGATTCGATATATAAGTTTTGTATCAGTATGAACTTATTGAAGTTGATAACTGTGATAGGGTTATATAAAATAGTATCCCTATTCTTAGAAAATATTCACTGTGGCCTCCCTGGTGGTGCAAGTTTCAGCACTGTGAAGCTACTGCAACCACAGTAGCATGGGTTTGATCCCTGGCCAGGGAAATGATCCACATGGTGCAACAGGCCTCTCCTGTCTACCTCACTGCTCCCCTCAGCAATGGATTTCAGTAGCTTTGCCTGTTCTGCTCCCCACTGTGTCTCTGGGGAATCCTCTCACACCTACTTACACTTATGGTCTGTATCCCAGCTCTTGTATACATAAATAATCTTTGGAAAAGAAAAAGAAAACATTCACTGAAGTTTATAGGGATAAGAGGTCATCATGCTTGCAACTTATTTCCTACTGATCCAAGTACACTTTCCAAATAAAAGTTAAAAGTAATAACCTGGGGACCTTTTCAGTTTATGTTTAGAATGAGGCCCAGACAAGCTGTTTTCGAAAAGTTTCCCAGGGATTAAGAACTCAAACTAAGGTCCTTAGTCCAACTACATCAACACCATCTGGGAAACACCTGTTAAACATGCCCAGGCCTACTGAACCAGAACATCTGGTGGTGAGAAAGAACCATAGCTTCCATGGGATTCTGATGCTTACTCAAGTTTTAAACCACTAACCAGGACTATGAGCTCCTGCAGTTTATATTCTCAGGTCCCATGTCCCCGCAAAAATCTAGCAAACAGTTTTTGTATAGTCTTATTTCAGAAAATGCTTAGTGATGGCTGCTACGTTCTCCATAAAATCTAGCAAAACAGTTTCTGTACAATCATATCTCAATTAAGTGTTTGTTAAATGTACTTTGACAGTGAATGATGAAACAGAAGTGATCATTAAGGCAGTTGGAAACGATAAACTACTCTAAGGTCCCAGATAAAGCATCACTCTGAGTTTCTAAAGTGAAAATAGTTTATTTTGAAAGCTATAAAGGCAATGAGATTACTCAGGTTAGTAAAAACCCTGTTGTCCCAAAAGGGAACAGCAGATCAGCTTACACTTTGTTAAGTCATTGTCAACTGAAAATATGGGATAACATGAGCACTTAAGACTTGTATTTAAAAATTAATTCTGTGGTTCTGAAAGCAGTGCACTGAGAAAGCCATGTTGGGCACCTCATGCATGGTTTGCTTAGAGAACACAGCACTCATGTGGCAGTAATGTGACCAGATTTGATGAGCATGGCCACACTTCAGGGAAATGTACTCTCGGTGGTATTTGGAGAGAGAAAAGACTTCTGTAATGAGAATGAGCTGGTCAGTTTACCTACTGAGTAGGAAATGAAATAAATACTTTTATTTTTATGCGATTATTTTCTATCTTGAGAATTTAGACTGCAGAATCTACTCCTGGATGCAGGATATCAACCTCGCCTCACCACATGCCTTTTCTACTGGCATCCTGAAAGATTTCACAGGAAAAGGGTGTTACATTGGTATTGTTGATTTAAAGGTTATCTAGTCATAGCCAGGCAGAGAATTCATCTTCAAAATTCACCTCCTTACTGAAAACGCATGGAGTGTCCTGGCAATTAACAATTCCTATCACCTCTAGCTGTACCCTATGTGAGAAGGCTCAGAACTCGCCTTACAAATTGCTCTTTTGAAGATCAAAGGGAAGCTGAATGTGTCTGTGTGTGCTCTCGATGAGACTGTAATTTAATGGAATTTTTAGAGAAGGCTGGCTGGCAGTGTTTGGATGACAGCCCCAGGGCGGAGGATTCAGGGGAGCTTGGCCACTCTTCCCTTTGGAGCGCATTCCCTGTCTTTAATTGGCACCTCATTAGAAATTAATGAAAATGACATCCTCTGTTCTTCCTGCTCTAGGCATCGAATGCTACAAAAAGGCCCATCACAATTCATAACGCATTCAATTTATATAGCGATGGCTCTTAAGCATTATTTATGAGATGTGAATTTCTTGTCAGCAGTTAATAACCTGTACAAGAGTAGAAGGGGAATGGGGAAAAAAGATGGCTGGGGGGAGGGGAAGAGAAGAAATATATATATAATTATAGATATATATAGATACACACACACATACATACATACATACATACATACATACATATAAAGATTTTCTGCAGTAGAGACTGCTTTGTTTGAGATCAAGCCACCTTCCTTTTACTCTTAGTACTAAATGACTATGCACCCAAGCCCTCCCTCCCTCCTTCTAGTCTCAAACCTTTCAGGACAATTAAATGCCTTTTGAACACTCTGTATCATCAAGGAAATAATTACACATACATCTTTTCCTAGAGACACCCAAATGGACAGATAGGAGGAACACAAGAGTTATTTGTCAAAGATCATTCCAAAGGTAGATGTTCCCATTACTGTCCTTTACCTGTTAAAATGTGGTAGTTGACTCAAGTCATTTTTCTGAGTACATAAGTATAATACTTTCTGTTGGCCAGCTTTCTCTAGGAAGGCTAAATATAGACTGCAGGAAGCTCAGGGTTTTCTTCCTCTCAAATCTCTCTATAAGTAGGCCCTCAGAATTGAGCACAAGCCAAAGGATTACTTATTAGATGATTTAAAAAGAATGCACACATCTGTAGCTAACCCAACAGGCACTTAGAAACCCAGCCTCCTGTCCAGGAGGTGAAGACACAGCAGGGTAATCTGCACCTACCAGAGACAGTCCGCTCGGCCTCGCTTAGAAGCACATGAAGTCATCTAACATGTATTTCTGGATTTTTTCAGCTGGGTGCTTAAGACCTTTACAAAATTAGGTGGTTTGCATCAAAGCTGAAGGGTAAACTAAGAGACCTGGTTACAACACCTCTGGATCTCTCAAGAGCTAAATTGTGAAGTCTCACTGCTTGCCTGACACGGAAGGCAGTATTAACCACTGCCAGAGGCTATACAATACATTTGATGGACCAACTGCTTGATCCACTAGGGCAAATCCTGTGTAATACCCAGGATTCAGTTACTTTCAAGAAAGAAACAAGAACATAAGGAGCAGGAAAAGCCAATGTTTCTAATTTAGGAAAAACCATAGGCCTGTGTTCTAAAAGTAACAGGAAAGATGGTCAGGTAGGCTTCACAACACTGGTAACAGAATGAACTGCTGAAACAACGTTCCCCCCACTCCAACTCCCCGGGTTTTTGTGAAAACCAAAGCAAGAATTTACAGACCACAAAAGAACCTGAAATGTAGGTAAGTTGATTGGTCATCAGACTACAAAGTTTCGTTGACTAACCAGAGTATTCCTTTAGTATCTCACCAAGAATTTAAGATTACATAGCAGGGTTGATAGAGATATAGTAAAAGATTCTGGGCTTACCTGAGCTACAGGTAGTTTAGAACTAAAGTTTGAAAACTGCTCACAGCCAGTGCTCACAGCTCTTAAACTCTACCTCTACCTCACTTCTTCACACTTTCACACAGCATTTAATAGTATAATTAAATGCTATCTAAAAAAATAAGTTGTATGGTGACTCCTGGGTTTCCTATGCTAGTCTGCAATTCTGGAACTGAACGTACACTCCAATCTTGTTAAATAACACATACAAATTTCTGCCATGACATGAACAGGAGTTCCAATTTAGTTTTAATCAGAAGCTGGTATTCACTCCTTCCTTTCTTTCTCATTCCCAACAGGGCAGATAATTGAGGGACAGGAGGAACAGGGATAAAGGACTTGGAGTAACTGCCAACTTTATAACTACTGAAAGAACTATCTGTCCCAACTGCCAGAATCAGTACTTACAAGATATTATTTATGGCTGTCCCAGAGGTGAAAGGAGGCTACTAAAGCTCATGCCTAAGGACAAAGTATATAGAGGGTTTTCAGAAGCTAGAGCTAGGTTTCGAATTTTGCTTGATGACAGCCTTGTTCCACAGAACAAGTTTATAATACTGGGCTTTAAAATCAAGGAATAAAAACAAGAACAGGAAAACTGTAAGTCAGCCTAAAATCCCTAGCTACATAATTATGCTCCTATGTGACATGATATATGTGATCAAAGAAAGAGAAAGGGTTGGTCTAAGTTTTGTTCCACTGTGGGTAGGCAAAAAGTTGTTTTTTTTGTTTGTTTGTTTGTTTTTGTTTTTTAATACATCCCTGTGCAGCAATTCTATGACTTGGTGTTATGCTAGCTAATAAGGAAAGGTTACCTGAAAGCTATTTTAAAGGTTTAACTGACAGAGAATTACAGATCAGAGAAAACAACTTGCTAATCCCATTTTTAAAGTAATGGGGCAAGAAATATTTCATTTATTTTACATACATAAGAAACTCATTCAAAATTAACTTGCTGTTGAATTCTATGGTACACATCCCAGCATTTCACTGGTTTTGGTTAATTTCTATGTAAGTCATCGATGAGAAAGACTATTCATTTGGGAAAAGCTGAAAGCAGCAAGCAGTGACAATGGGACTCTAAGGAAATACGTATGTAGCTGATAGGGTGTTTTGCCTTTTTTTTTCTTCCAGATTTAAGGCAGAACAGAGGGTGTTTAAGAGTAGAAAGCTTCTACTCCTGATTTCTTAATCTCCAAACCTATAATTTACCAGAAGGCACTCAGGAGAAAAATGAATTTCAGCCTCTTAGGAAAACTTTGCAAAGCTATGCCAGAGTGTCAAATCGCCATCACGCCACTGCAGGAGATGCTTACCACAACGGCATGATCCCAGCTCCTGCTGCACCAGCTCCAGCTTGGTTTGGCACTGGAAGCATCGGCGTCGACTCTTCTGTTTAGATCGGCTGGTTTCCTCGGACCGTTCGGTATTCTCCAGTAGTCGTGGCCGTTTCACTGGAGAAGCCTCATTCTCAGACTGTGAATCTGACCAAACAATACATATGAGGTCGGGTTAGAGCTTGGCTGGGTATGCACATCTGATTATGCACTGCCAGGCACTCTTCTGACCAGTTACCTTTTCTAGGAATTAGACCTGTGTGAAAACAGAAGTCAGTTCTAATCGGCATGGTTTATTCAACACAAATTATGACAAGCTTGTTCTTTCAGGGTTGACTTCTTACTAGCAAGGCCTGAACTACAAGAAGAGGGGTTGGGGTGAAGAATAACATATCAGTTCTCTATTATTGTTTTAAAAATGGCTGTCTTCGTAAAAAACCAAGATTGAAGTAGAATCCTCTGTTTGTACACCTTTCTTTGGGCCGTATTTACTGCTTATATTGGCTATTTAACTCTTTTTGGACACTTGCTTACCTTCAATTACACTGTAATTCTTTAAAGGAGAGCATGTCTAGTATTTCTTTATACTGTCATGCTTGATTAGTATAATTCCATACCCAATGCCAGTGTTTGATAGGTGACCCATTAATCTTTTGTCATAAGAATTTTCATGTTTATACTAGTAAACACACAAGAATCAGGTTCTATTGAAAATTACTCCAATGTCGGAGTGAAAAACTATGCCTTCTTGCTCATAAGTAGGCTGTGTCACAGTCTCCATCATGGAGTGGTAGAAAGGCAATCATTGGCATTACAATTCTAGGGTTCTTGCCAAACTGGCAGGTGGAGTAGGTGTAGAGGGTGACAGCTTGTATTTTGTATAATCTAAAAAAAAATAATAACTAAAATTCAATAATCAACTTTGTCCAGCTAAAAAGAATTCTTGCCTTCAAAAACAGGGAGAGTATGTGGGGAGTTCTGTGCTCCTAAAAGTGTTTCTACTGCTTACTGAGTATATAACTCTTAAGTTCCAAAGTTCCAAACTACCTCTAGGAGTCTCCTACATGATCCTGAAAATAAATCTGTATTTTACCAGATATCCCTCCCTCCACTAATACCATACTAGTCTCATCCAATCTACTACTCAAGAGATTCTTAACTGGTCACCCTGTTTATCTTCCTCCCCACACTCCTTACAATCTATTTTCCACATAGAAGTCAAGTGATTCTATTAAAAGTCAAGGTAAAATTATTCCACTCTCTTGCTTAAAACCCTCTACCTGCGTAGCTCCTCAGGGGTAAATTCAGATACTTTAGCCCTCAAAAGGCCCTATTTGGTTTGACCCTCCCTCATCTCTCTCATCCCATCTCCCGCTACTCACTCTTTCTTTGCTTCAAGGACTATAATCTCCTAATTGTCTCCTTCACTTGACAGCTTTGGAACTTTCGGTTCCCTGTGGAACACTCTTTACCCAGACCTACCAGAGATTTTATTTTTTTCAAGACTTTTAAGCCACATGTCTCTTCTTCAATGATCACCCTCTCCAGACATCTCTTGTTGCTATCCCTACCATTTTTCCTCCTCTCTTCTGTTGCCTTTTTCATTTTCGATAAGAATTTACTTTTAACATTATCCCTAGTAGCATGTAAATTCCTAGAATTTAAGGAGTTTCACCTGTTTGTTCACTTATGTATCCTCCATGCCTATAACAAATATATCTGAAATTAATGAAATCTTCCAGGCAATGCAGATTTTCTATTTAAAGTGGCTCCAGTGAGCAGTAACAAACTTAGATGTATTTCACTGCAGGCTAGCTGTACCCTGCTCCCCAGCCTCCCTGTGTGTGAGGCGATGCTATATACTTCATTGGCACTGACAGTGAAGATGGGACAGTTTGTACACAGCGCCCCAATCTGTGCACCAACGTACAGAAGGCATAAGCCATTCTTAGCAATTGTAGACTTCATTCTTCATTTCATTTAGGTATTCCAGTCTTACATGACATTTTTTCCCCCAATACAAATGAACTAAACAAGGCTGCTGATGAAAACAATTGAAAGCAAGTTCAGCCTATTTCCCAGGTCTGCTGAGTGAAGCTGTCCAAACCCAGTTGCTGTGATAACTGAGGCAGCCATAGACTTTCTATGCTCCCTCCCTTTTTCTCTACAAGTGAAACAAGCAACAATCTAAATGTAAATCATCACAAAGCAGCCAGGCAAAATGAATTCACTTTGTATAAACCACAGTGCTCTTGGAGGGGGTCCTTTTTTCACAAACCAGCTACAACACTATTTGTATTAATAGGATTAATTAATCCTATTTAGACATAGAATTATTTTTTTGTAACAATAAGAGAAAATTCTACAGTAAAAGTTATAGCCAATAAACTGGTGCTTGCTTTGAGACAAGGTCCTAAAGCTAGAGCACCCTTGTAAGAAATCATCTCTAGTGCTGAAGCATGAGGGGAGTAAGGACAAAGGGCCACACAAAAGAGGAAGTGGTTAAAAACCTTGGCATGATGCCGGCACACCTCTAATGTAATAGGGGACCACTCAAATGTCAACTTACTATTTCATTTATACTAAGAGCTGACAAAATTAAGTTATCTGTAGAAATGCAGAGTTCAGATTCAAAGGTTTTCCTTATAAGTATGTCCCCAACTATCAAACATGCTATTTGCATAGCCCCTGGCTTCATTTCTAATACAACTCTTTGATACCAGGAGAAGAGAATTTAAGGTCAGTGGGAAATGGTACCCATTGTTATTTTCACAGAACCAAGGGTATACTATGTGAAGAAAGTATCTTTGAATATGATTCTCAAGACTGAGAAATAGAATTTATATTTAAAATCATGATCACCACAGGTTATCCCCAAAGTCACAGTGTGACTCCCAAGTCAGGAGGTTTATCTAGACTTGACCTCTCTCAATTACCCTAGTCTGACCAGTCAGCATTTAGTAACAAAACTAGGGAATCAGCTCGTATGGTCTCACGCTGAGGTTTTTCCTTGATCCAGTCAACATTACATGCAAACACACTTATTAAGTTACTTGTTCTACTGGGCAGAAGCTATGGGACATTTCTAAAATAAAGCTATAATAATAATAGCTCTCCTTTGCCATCCTAAAAGAACCTACTCAGCCTTAGTCCACCTTCTAAAAGTCAATGCCTTGGCATCTGTGCTAATCTAAGATCAAAGGCAGCCATGCACAGAAAGGCTAAGCCACAAAAAGCAGTTCTCGATGGTTCTAAACTAATAGAGGACAAGTCTATCAAAATACGTTGTTTTTTAGACATTAAGAAATCTGTAACTTTTAAGTTCTTAAGTATGCCCATTTAACCTCCACTTAGCTGGCAGCGTATTAGATAGAAAGGACTTCATGGGCCCTCTGATGTTTACTATCCAAAGATGGAGTGGAAATAAGCTCCTTAAAACTGTTGACCATCTTCCATACGCTGCCCTCCAGGAAGGTAACTGTGTTATATGTCACTTCTTGCTGAAGCAAACAATTCTTTGGCATTCTTTCACAAGTCAACTTAGTGTTTTAATTAACAGCTAATGAACTAGTGGTCTACAGGATTATCATCATGTGCCATAAGAAATTTACATCTCTTTGCTAATTAGTAAATGAGCCATGGGTGAGTTACATATATAAGAGAAACAGATGTCCAGGGTGGGGTAGTCTAATTACATAAAGATGAACTAAATAATTCAAGTATTAAATTATAAATTTTATGTCAATTTAAAAAGAACTACCAGAAAGAAAAGGTCCAAACCTGATCACACTAACTAAAGGAAACCTCATCTACTGTCCACTGAATTAATTAAACTTTAATAATTTATTCCTTACTCAGAAGCAGCACTCATTATATTAAGCATTTTCAACTTCCTCAACAATGATGAAAAACATTTAACAACATTCTACTTGCATAGTCTGAACTTGAGCCGCAAGCGTTAAACGTGGGGAGAAAGGTGAACAGAAATAACTCTTTAAGTGCAGCTTTAACTGTCAGAGGAAAGAGTCCTTGCAAGGAGCATGCTCATTAACAGCAGGAGGAGCGATAGTGGTAAAGATAGAAACAAACTGTTCCCACTCCAGGAGTTAAGAGTGACTCTAATTAAGGTCCTGCCTAAAAGGCCAACAAAACACATTTTTTCCAGTATGCTTTTTCTTGACAAAACAATCTAACCTGCATACCCATGAAAGAGCTGCCACACTCTCACCACAGGTTCACATTCTGAGTCCTCGCCAGAGCTCAACTCCCTCTGTGTCCAGCAGAGAAAGATATTATATCAGATCTTCTAAATCAAAGGAAGGTCTGATCTTTAAATGAGAAAGGGAAATTTCAGAAAGAGTATTTTACCACCTATCAGCTTCATAGCTTTCAAAGTAATCACTGCCTAATTATGATAAGCAAATATAGTGATTTTGAAAACAATTTCTGAAGGAGAAATTCTAACTGTACATGCAAAAAATGATGCTAAGACTTTCAATTTTGGAACACAGTAAGTTTAACTGGAGTTTGGAGACGATAAACAGAGATACTTCTTTGAAAATTGTTTTGTTTCTGACAGAAATTCACATTTGTTCCTTACTGTCACTGTTTTTGTCATTATTACTCATGTTCGCTCCCCCAAGTTTCCAAGTACGTTGTATCAGGGCCATCAGAATTAAATCCCAATCTCTCTAAATCCCCCATCCCTATGTAGCTGGCAGAGCCCACACACCAGGGCTACAAACCGTGGATGTGGCCTTCTGACACGCTGGGCAGGCTTGAAGGCCCCTGCACAAGCCCACACACAATTCTGAACAGGAGAGTGGGAGAACCAAACAGCAACAAAGAAGGAAGTTTTCTATTTCCTTACCCACACCTTTCCTCACTTCTAAGAAAGAAAGATGAAATTGTTTAATCTCAGGCTCCATGACAGCTTTTGAAGTAGTCAATCAGCTATTTTTTTTAGAACCTATCACAGTCTCTTGACAGATTGACATTTATGATCCCAACAGACTGTGCAAACATCAGTAAGAGCAGTAATTAATGAACCCTCACATATCACTGCTGTCTCTCTCCACCATTTAAAAGGAGCTTAAGCTGTTAAAAACCCCTGTCCATGAAAAGCACCACACTCTCACTGGAAACTC